TAGTTTCCATTTTATTTTTCCATTACCCCCTTTATAACCCCAAGCCTTAAAACCCTAAACCATAAACCCCCTACATCCTAAGCCCTAAACCCTAAACCCTAAACCCTAAACCCTAAACCCTAAGCCCTAAGCCCCTGTCATGGGGCCAAAGCAAGGTGACGGCCTCGACTTTCAAAGTACTGCCCAGAAGCTCTTGGACGCAGGAGGTCTCGGCCTGAGACGTTGATCGTGGAGTCAATCTGGGCCTTTGGGTTTAGGGTTTAGGGCTTAGGGTTTAGGGCTTAGGGTTTAGGGTTTAGGGTTCAGAAACAGAGGTACCTTCAGGGAATCTCAATGCCATTTTTGCCTGGAACTTCAATTCTAAGAGCCGCTTCGAGGGTTAGAACCGCCAAGGTGTTGGGGCGCTGTACAAGGGGACTGATGCCACCATCCTGGCAACTGGCGTCCGGGCCTCGAAACCTGCTCCAGTCATGTGGGGCTTGCCTTAAATGCACTAGAATACAGGTCCCGTGTGTATATATATATATATCTATATTGAGGTTCCTTGTATGGTTCGGGTCCTTGTATAAATGTCCCCCATTTTGGGCAGAGTACTTTAGGCTAAGTCCATGCAGCTTGTACTTCCATTCCCACCAAGCAATGGGTGAATGGAACTCATAGTAGGCCCCAAGCAATGCGCACTCCCCGTTCCTAACTCAGCAGGAGAAAGTTCATAAACAGCCCCAAACCCCAGACCCCGAAGCCCAAAGCCCAAAGCCCAAAGCCCAAAGCCAAAACCGGACCCAAAACCGACGACCCCCAAACCCTAAACCTAAATCCCAAACCCCTTTTTTTGCCAGAGAAGGGCCCGGCAAAAACAACCCTAAACCTGGGGTCATTCCCCCTTGCAGTAACTGTTACCACAATGGGTTATAGGAGTTATAAGAACTCCCTAATAAGGCCCCTTTAAGGACGGTTACTGGGAGGGGGAATGACCCAACCTAAACCCTAAGCCCCGAGAAGGTCATGGGCTTCGCAAGCTTCGGGCTGAACGAGCTGTTCAGGCGGCTGATACGCTCAAGAGTTAGGGTTCAGGGTTCAGGGTTTAGGGTTTAGGGTTAGGGTTTTCAAGCATTTGGGGTGTGTACACAGGGGGTCTGGGTTTAGGGTTTACGGTTTGGTGGGGCATACAGGGATATGCTGTTGATGGATGAATCTTGCACCACCGCAAGTCCCTAAAGTCCTAGGAGTTGCAGTGTTTTAGGGACTTGAGGCTTTTATAACCCTATAGTACTTCTTATAGAATCCCTTACATAACGCCTTCTAAGGACTTTAGATTATGGCTCATATGGCTTGGGGTATAGGGTATCCCAGGGCCAATGTCTTAAGCCCCTGTATTAGAGGCTCTCATGATAAGGATTGCCTTCTCTTGGAAGTTGATTGGGGCAGCCCACACTATGTGAGCCTGTCAGTATGCCATACCCAGGGACCATTCAGGGTGGACACAGGGGTCGCTCTTATAGTTTGGTATAGTCCCTACTATGGTCCCAAATAAGGAACCCATGTCTATTAACTATCTCGGTAATATTGACTGTAGCTCAAGTATTGAACCCTGCGGTTTTGTCGTGTCTCAACTTGGGAGCTCATGTTTGTATACCTCAGTGCTAAGTAGGACCCAAGTTACCGCCAGGTTGTTGCTTATCGTCCCTCATACTTTTTACCAGGCAAAATGTCAGGTACTACGCAGTGAGCTCACCTGGTTTTCTCCCTAAGCCCTAAACCCCAAAGCCTAAACCCCAAACCCCCCTAAACCTTAAACCGCACAAGGCGAAGTTTGGAGAAAATGAACGGTGACGCGACCGGCGAGCCCAGCGCTCTCTTGGTGCTTGCTGCGTCGATTGCGGCAGTGTTTGTCTCAGACACTTGGCTGTGCACGTCGGCTGCGGATGAATGCATCCTTAAGAAACCCCTAAGGAGCGCCCATAATCCCCCTAGGCTTAGGGTTTAGGGTTTATGGCTTGAAAGCCCTACATGCTCAAAATGGTGTTCTTCTGAATTCCCGCTGCCGCCCCCCTGCAGGGCATTATCGCTGCTCCCTTTGAAACTCTGCGAGTGCGCGTGATGGCCCCAACGGAGGGTCGCTCATGGGGAGACTTGGACAGCACTGGTGTGCAGCACGTCGTAGAGATCTGGCACTTCATCTGCAATTCCATGATTTGAGACTTTCTCAATGTATACAAAAGTACATGTGGTCACCCCCAGAACATGGATATGTATACATATATATATATATACAACACATATGTGTATATATACATGTGTCCATATCTATTTTATTTGTTGCACATCTATCTAATCCGTAATGAGGAGCACCATTGTCTGTCCTAAGGAGAGCTAGCCACCGAAGCTGCCTCACTGCCTTGTTTCAAGGGGTTTAGGGCTTAGGATTTTTAGGGTTTAGGGTTTAGGGCTTTGGGTTTAGGGTTGAGTCAGAGGGCTTAGGGTAGTTTAGGGCTTTGGGTTTAGGGTTTCGGGCTTAAGGTTTAGTGCTCTTTTGAAAAGGTGGTAGAGCTTCGTCTAATCCTTACAGAGATGCACCTGCCTTGCTTGATGAGGAAGGGAAAAGAATATGGAAACTAACATGGTAAGGGTTTAGGGTTTAGGATTTAGGGTTTAGGGTTGTTTAGGGTTTAGAGTTTAGGGTTGTATGGGGATTCTACAGTGGCTCCTGTAGAGAGGCCCCTACTGACAGCCAGTCTTTCATAAGCGGCCCGGAACCCTAAGAGGATCCAGAAAGTGGGAACTCCCCTTGTGGGATCCCTTCCTCCATTCCCTCATATATATCCTTTTATGACCATTTTTTACCCTACTTATAGTCTGTTATAAAGGGACCCTCCCTAAACCCTAACCCCTAAATCCTAATCCCTAAGCCCGAAAGCCTAACCCTGCGTACACCCAGCAAGTTGCCAGGTGAGCAAAGGCTTCTCAGAGCTTTGGGCGGGTTTGTGGCCTTTTTGGGCCAGGGAAATCCCTTTTTCCGCATGTGGCTTGGTTGAAGAAAGGGCTTGGGATTTAGGCTTTGGGTTTTAGGGATTTGGGTTCAGGCAGCTACTACCAATGAGCAAGAACATGGAAACTACTATTCTGTAGTGGTATTTCTTTCCGGGGTGAGTCTTTTGGTTTTGGGGTACAAGCCCTAAACCCTAAACCGGGACAGACATCGTGGTAAAGGGGAGGCCTTGCGAAGTGACCCTAAACCCTAAACCCTAAACCCTTCCTGTAAGGCAAATTTCTCGTCTTTGACCTCGCGTCTCGTGCAACCCTCGGATGCCGACAGATTCAGGGAGTTCAGGGTCGGGTTCATGGTATAGGGATCAAGATCTGGGGCTTAGGATGTAAGGGTCTAGTGCTTGGGATGTAAGGGTTCAGGGTTTGGTGTTTAGGATGTAGGCTCAGGAATTGGGGTTAAGGCGCAAGGATTCAGGGGTCACTGTTGGCAGTCGAACCTGTCAATGCCATTTTGTAGGGGTACGTGATCCCTTTCCTTAATATATTGGTCCCCGTTCCCGTTATGTTGAATTTCCCCGCGGGAGCATACATATGGGGAAGTACGTGTTCAGGGGGCGTGGTGTGTTCTAAGATTAGGAGAGTGACGAGAGGACCCCAATGCAGACAAAGATCTTACAAGGTGCACTCTTCAGCCTTTTCCCGGCTGCCGCGGATGCGGCGTCGCTGGAGATCTCGGCGGTTGCTGGTGCCATTGCGGGCCTCTGCTCAGCGGTGGTCTCTAATCCCGCAGACGTACCTCCTCCTTGCAAGTAATTGAGGGTTTAGGGTTTTAGGGTTGAGGGTCTAATTAGGGTTTTAGGGTTTAGGGAGCATCATGAATGTTATCGAGGTGATTGCGTGTAAGTGCGCATGAGCTGGTATTGCATCTCAGCCTACTGTGCAGAAAAGTTGACATGGTTTTCGCCAGGTCATAATCACACAGATCTCGTTTTCAAGCGGCGGCGATACATCAGGCCGGCAGAATTCTGTACGTGAGCTAAAAGCCAGACTCCTTAAAGGGCGTTGTGTAAGAGACTATAAGGGATTACTATAGGGTTATGAAGGGGGATACTAGGAGTTTCGACTATGTCTTACATGGGCCTCCAATAGCAGTAGCCTTTGCCCCCTTTGCCCCTGTGCTACTGTTTTGCCCCTGTGCTATTTTGACACAGCCCATCCAGACATGATGTCGTCGTATTTGGAGCAACCGAGCAACCCTAACTTTGAAACCCTACACCCTAGACCTGAAACCCTAAACCCTACACCCTAAACCCTAGACCTTAATCAAATCCCAGAGCCAGTGTGCCATAGTCTTATGGTTGCCGTGCGAGTTCCCATGGCAGACTAAAGGAGAGCAACAGCTTGACCTCTGAGGTAGCAGGTTAAGTCTGTTATTTACATCAGAAATCCGAAGCCGCTCGAAAAACTTAAACACAAACCCTAACGCCCCCAAACCTCCTAAACCCTAAGCCCAAACCCCCAAACCCTAAACCCTAAACCCTAAACCCCTGAAACGGCCTTTGGACTTGGCAGGTCGCAGGTCTCTCAGCACTTTGAACCTCTGGAAAGGCCTCGGCGCTCGTAGCGTTTACTTTGCGGCGGCCTCTTGGCTCAATCCTAGGGTGTAGGGTTTCGAGGGTTAAGGTTGAGGGTTTAGAGGGTTTCGAGGGTTTCGAGGGTTTCAAGGGTTTAGAGGGTTTCGAGGGTTTGGCGGGTTTAGAGGGTTTAGGGTTTAAAGGATAATGCAAACTAAGATGGAAACTAGGATTCAGGGTTTGGGGTTTAGGGAAGGGTGAGCGCGGAAGCGAAGATAACATGTCATTCCAGATATGGCGGTTTCTTCAGACATGCGAGAATCGCCATCTACGAACCCCCCAAACCAATATGTTCTATCTACTTAAGGGGGACTATAACCCCAATATATACCCTATTATAATCCAGTAGTTTCCATTTTCTTTTCCACTATCCCCAATATAGCCCCAATATAACCCAATATAACTCAGTTGCAGCGCCTCCTCATCTGCACATTAGCATGGCAACAGGACTAACACAGCTTCAGTTGCAAAGCTGCAAGGCCATCTGTGCGCAGTTCCTACTCTACGACTCCGTGAAGGAGCTCAACTGGGTTGCTGTTGAGGAACTTAAATTAAGTTTCCATAATGGGTATATATAGTAAATAACAGGGTTTCCCCAATATAGTAACTTAATTTAAGTTCCTTAACAGCAACCCAGTCAAGTTCAAGAACACGACAGGAATTTCTGATGTTGCTCACTATCTTGCCTTTATTCTGGTCATATTCGCGATGGTTTTGTGGTGTTGTGCAAATATGATTTCAGTAGAATCCAAACGGTTTCAATGTGATGGCCATCAGAACCTGAAACCCATAAGTGGTAACAAGGCGGCAGGTCCAACTTTTTGCCTCACACTCGCCGGAGAACTCGGTTGCATTCCCCAACTACCCTGGACGTACCAAAACCTTGAGGCTAGATATGAGCATCACTGAGTCGCAAAAGCAGATACCTAGATTGAACTTTGAGAAGTATTTTGGTGTTCCGCAGTGTTGTTTCAGTGAAGCCACTCATTAGTACTTGTTGGGGCACTTTAAATGTGACCCAGATGTAAGGTTTTGCGATGTCTAAAGAGCTTCAGCTGCCACGAGTTGTGTTGGGCGTCGGCTCAGCATGAGCCCTAAACCCTCAACCCCCAAACTCTAGACCCTAAACCCTTAAACCTTCAACCCTTCAACCCTTAAACCCTAAACCTCAGCTGACAGGAGTTGTTGGGCGTTGGTTCTGGAGACCTCCAGCTGGTCCTCGATGTCTTTGGCATTTCGCGAACTGCAGAGAGCCTTCTAGGTTGAAAAGCGAGCGTTTGAACTTGAGTTATATAGGGATAATGGAAAATAACATGGAAATTACTATTTAGAGTGAAGGTTTAGGGGCTTAGGGTTTAGGGTTTAGGATTTAGGGTCTGGGGTTTAGGGTTTAGGGCTTTTTGTGCTGCTGAGACCTTGGTTATGTGGAACTGTGTGGGAAAGTCAGGGCTTGCACAAAACAGGAGCCATGATTTTGGATGCAGGTGCTAGTAGACCTTATATGAGCTACTGTCAATATTTCAATATTTGGCTTGCCAAGGTACCATTTAGGGTGGACATAGCGGTTCTGCCTGTAGTTTAGTTTTGTCCTGAATGTAGTCCCTAGTTAGGAACCCATGTCCATGAATCATCTGGGAAGACCCCCAACACCCTATACCCTAAACCACGTATCTATCTCAGGTCCTCAATATCCCTAAACCCTATCCCTAAACCCTAAACCCTGCAAAGAGATCGCCTCCCTATCTGCGGCAGAGTGCCAGGCGCTGAGGATGGGAGACCGCGTCGGCGTCCTGTTCAGGTGCACCGGGAGAAGGGGGGCGAGGGCGGGGCGTCAATTGTACGGGTTATCGTGTGTCTATATTGGATACACCTAGTTGGAAGCTACAAATTTGTGCTCCTTTTGTTGGGGTGGTATCCCAGCTGGTAGGGCCCATATTCTCCAAAAGGCTAAAGGGGGACCGCAAGTTTGACACTATGCGGCTGAGGGTTTAGGGCTCCGGGTCCGGGATTGGAAGATGAGGCAAATCCTCAGTGGCATCCGCGCAGCTTGTAGCTGTAGCCTACATGCTTCAGTCCCACACGGTATGCGTAATTTGAGAAATCAAAGCTGGATGAGTCTGGACACTAGCTCACGTTGAAGTCTTTGTCGTTGCTTGCATGCAGCCGTGGCGGCCCAACGACAAGTTGCGACCAAAGTCTGCGCAACTTGAGAAGGGCCCAGCGACAGGCGAGCCACGCTTAAGGTGCTCATGATCAAGCTTGGCCAAGAGGCCCTCGTTGTAGCAGGATCATTCATCGATGACCCTAGTGACAATGACCAAGTTTGTCATTAAGACACACACCACCAAAAGTCTCGACGAGCTTGCCGCAATCAACTGTGACGGATGCGGTAGCTCACATGCAAGGCAGCAATGAAGATCGACGCACGATGAAGAATCCTAAAAACGGAGTAGCCATGGATATCTGTACCGCTAATAGTTACTATGACCATCCTCCTGTTACCAGAAGAGCTATACAGTAGTCTAAACTTCTTAAAGGGGTTTAACCAGAGGAATATATAAGAGAGTATGATAGGAGTTCTTGAGGGGGATAGTAGGAGTTTAGTCTACAGCTCAGATGGTAACCCCAAAGCCCCAAACCTTTGTCCAGGCAAGGTTTCTGAGGTCAAAAAAAAGTCGCGAGTATTCGGCATGATGGTGACATAACCTTAAACACCAAACCCTGAAGCCCAAAGCCTA